CCCTCTTTGGGAAGCTTTGCCGTTCTGGGGTGACGCAGAAAGAGCTTCGGGCTCTTCTCAGGGCTGCGGGGGCTGAGAGCTTTTGAGGATCAGCCTTCCCGATTAGGGTTTAGGGGTTAGGGTTTAGGGTTTAGGGTATGATGATTGTATCATGCAGCCCAACACCCTACTCGGATTATTAAGGCCCCGGCTGTCTGGTTGGAGGATCCCTCGTTCTCTTTGTCGTCCTCACCTCAGCTGGATCACTCCCGAAAGCAGCGACCTACCACCCAAAGGCGAACGCAAAGCCTCTGCGCCAAAACACTGGCCCCGCCCCTACGTGCAGGAACCACCCGGAGCCAAATTATTCCAAGCCGTGGGCTTCGAAAACTAGATCCAAAGCAGCCGAGAAGGCTGTCTTCGTCCAGCTCATCGGCGTCGTCGTCCTCGTCCAGCTCGTCAACAGGCGGGCGCTCGCCTCTCGTTGCGTCGTTCCACTCGCTCATTACTTCTAACTAACTCCTACTGGTGCTTATCATGTGTATCTGGTTCTTCCTGCTGATGCCATGCTTCTGCTAGCAGTCACACTGCTCCTGTCATGTGGGCTTGTTCCTGCCACTGAGGTGGCGGTTATGATGATGGAGCAGGAGAGAATGAAAATAAACCCTGAACCCCCATGGATTTAGGGTTTCGGGTTTAGACGGGTTTCGGGTTTAGACACCAAACCCTCAACCCTACACCCTAACACCTAAAACCTAAACCCTACTATAACTCTAAGCTTCCAGCTCCGAAATCTCGGAGGAAAGTCTCCGCAGCAGCCGTCATGTCGGAGCCTTAATGATTAGCGTAGCATTCCTTGTAGGGTTCCTTACGAGGTTCTATCAGGATCGTTATACAGCTGCTACAAGGCTTCTCTGTTCGCGGGGCTTCTTTAAATAACTAGAACAGCGTTTTGGTGGCATAGTGGAATTATTTATGATAAGGAACCTTGTTATCAATACAAGCGACAGCACGGAGCTTGCCTGGTATAGTCTCGGGTCAACCGACCCGGACCTTTCTCCTGTGAGAAACCCGATGGACCCATCCAAACTTTGCACAAGCCCTGCAACTTGCGTGATATTCCGTACATAGCAGCCAAAAACCTCGTAGGTGAACACTGCATTATGCATCTCTCGGCAACACCATTGCAAGGCCGAACTGCCCGGGGGCTCCTCGTCGTGCTCCAAAAAATCTAAACACAAACCACTAGAAGTAGAGTGATTAAGTAGTGCAATAGCGGTAGCGGCAGCAGCAGCGGTAGCGGTAGCGTCAGCGGTAGCGGTAGTGGTAGTGGTTATAGTTATAGTCATCGCCATTGCAGCACAGAATGCTTTTCCGGCAAGGCAGAACCACCTCTTGAGTTTGGCGCTGCAGGCCCAAGCAAGCCTCGCGCCTCTGCGAATTTAGCCATGCACATCAGCCGCATCTCCAAACAAGATGAAGTCAACTGCCCTTGCAACCCCACCACTCCGAGCCATCTGACGGCTCAGCTCGCTAGCTGCAAGCCGGAAGGAGTTCTCAGGCTCAAGCATTTGCCGAACAGCCGATCGGAGAGCTGTCGGCGACAAGGTTTCACTGGGGAATTTGAAGGACGCGGCCGCGCCGGTGTCCACCAAAGCATCGGCATTGAAAGGCTGGTCGTGGAACATTGGCACAATCACTAAGGGCACTGCCAACGCAATCGCCTCATGAAGGCTGTTGGCTCCCCCATGTGTGATGAAGACGTCGCACTTCTGAAGCACCTGCAGCTGTGGTACAACTTCTTGAAGAATGAAGTTCTCAGGAGCGGGGGGGAGACCCTCGAGTGCGTCCACCTGAGGCCCAGTAGCTGCGATCACCAAGAGATCCTCTTCATGGCCGAATGCCTCAGGTTTAGGCTTTAGGGGTTTAGGGTTTAGGGTTTAGGGTATAACCAAGAGATCCTCTTCATGGCCGAATGCCTCGGGTTTAGGCTTTAGGGGTTTAGGGTTTAGGGTTTAGGGTTTAGGGTATAACCAAGAGATCCTTTCATGGCCGAATGCCTCGGGTTTAGGCTTTAGGGTTTTAGGGTTTAGGGTTTAGTGTATAACCAAGAGATCCTTTCATGGCCGAACGCCTCGGGTTTAGAGTTTAGGGTTTAGGGTTTAGGGTTTAGGGTATAACCAAGATATACTCTTCATGCCCGACTGCCTCGAAGGCCGCCTTCAGGACGAACTGGACAAACTCCTTGCCACTGAAATCTTGCAAGCCATTGCTTTCCGCAGTCGGGCCAAACTTTCGTGCCCAGAATGACGAGGTTGCCACGCTCCCCATAGAAACATAGATGACGTGCTTCGACCGCTGCCTGGCCTCATCAATGGTCTTCCAGGGCAGCTTCTTGTCCAGCTGTTCTGCCGAAGCCCAGGCATGTGAAATCCTTGATTCCTCCGGGGCGATCATGGGCCCTACACATCGAAAGGGCACCTTCGCGAGTCGCTCCTTTTGAAAGCTTGAGGAGGGAGGGGCAAACAAGCGCTCGAGCGTCGCGACCGTGTTTCTATCCATCGAATAGAACTCGCCGATGGTGCCATGCGCAAAGATGTCGATGCCGTACACCTCCTTGATTTCTTGCGCTGATCTTTGGACCACTGGGTTCATCTCTAAAGATGCTTGAGAACTCACCACACCAGGGCCAGTGAAGGTCAGCAGGCTAACTGATGGTATGTGAAACTGATGGGCAACAACGAGGCCCTGTGGCAAGAGCGGGTCGTACAAAATCAGAGACGGTCTCGGGTGCAGATTTCCCATGTCACTTAGCAAACTTGGGAGAATAGCAGCGGCCACGGGCACCGCGCTAGCCGGGAAGAGGCAAGCAGTCTTCTCGAGACCATCTAAGTACTTTGATGCTTGCTCGTCAGTCAAGTCATGGGGCCTTTGCATTTGACGCCAGTTAGCACCGGTGGCTTCCACCACCTCGCGAAACTGTTCATGGACGTAGTAGGTCACTATCACTCCACGGGATTTGAGCTCGACCACGATGGGCAGGGAAGGATTCACGTGGCCCGTTGACGGCATCATGACGAACACCACATGCCTCTCTGACATCTTGGCGGGAGAGAATTTTTAAAACATCACAAGCTCAACCCTACGAATAAAAAACAGCTGCAGCCAATGCATGATGTGCTCGGCAGCTTTCAGACTACCGTTTCGAACACAGTGCAGCACAGCCAGATTCAAGCGGTCGCAATCCCAGAATCTAAACTAAGGTCTTAACGTCTTTCGGAATGCAACCCCTAAACCCTAAACCCTGAACCCTAAACCCTAAACCCTATGAAGAGCCTCTCGCTTCGGCAATGGGGTCATCATCCAGCACGATGATGCGGCTGTTGTGCTTGGACAGATTCGATCCCCTTGCGATCGGTACTCTCTCTCTCTCTCTCTCTCTCTCCCTCCCAGGCTTCAAGGAATGTACCCAACAAGACAAACAGTTTCGGATTACTGCTGCTCCGGCTGCTCTTACTAGTCCTATCGTTAACGGTTTAGGTCCCTACGTAGTTGCTAGAATAGTATGTTGGGGATGTTTGAGGGCATCTTGTACTCTGTTTATAGTGGGGAGACCCTGAGGAATACGATCACCTGTTATTCTTTCATTCTATTATGTTAAAGTAGACTGTCGTATCCTATAGCATATTATAGTCTAGTCTAGTATGGTATGGTATGGTGCGGTGAGGTATGGTGTGGTATGGTACGGTATGGTAGGGAAGTATAGTTCTGTATTGTATCTATACTGTAGTGTAGTGTAATGCCCTGTATTGTATTGCATGGTATTGTATCATACATTGCATTATATTGAATATGAAGATAGGTAGGTAGGTAGGTAGGTAGGTAGGTAGGTAGATAGGTAGGTAGGTAGGTAGGTAGGTACGAGGCGGAAGGAATACGAAGGCGGAACGCACTCTGGGAAGGCCTAGGGTTCGTGATTTAGAGTTTAGAGTTTAGGGTTTAGGGTTTGAGGTTTGGGGTTAGGGTCTAAGGTTTAGGGTCTAAGGTTTAGGGTTTAAGGTTTGGGGCTTAGGGAAAGCAAGTCCTGCGAAGATGATCCTCAGCTGCAGGGGTATAGGCTAAATCGAGCAAACCAGTATCTCGGATGCCGAAGACATGGCAGCTCTTTGGCGACCGACCGGGTTCCTATATCATAGGGGCCGTCATTCATCTTTTTGATGTATCTCAAATTACAGCCGTATTAGGGAGTGAAAGGATACTACTACCAGTCATTGGCCCTCATAGTAGCTTTCCTGAGCCGTCGCGAAAACTCCACTAATCGCAGCCCGGCCCACACAATTGGACGGTGAGCATCGATCACGAAGCAGCGGAAGTCATCTGGAGCCTGCCGAAAAAAACGACTGAGCGGGGACTTCATGTAAACGGTAATGCGACACAACAGCTCAAAACACTGTGTCAGGAAACATTGCCTGATCATGTACAATGGCACGTGATGCTATATCTTCATTCCCTTCAGGATGACAGCACATAATGCCATAAACATCATCACCATAAACTTGACCAGCACCTGCATCATCATCATCATCATCATCATCATCATCATCAATATTAACACCGCCATCACCAGCTCGATGATACGATGACAAGCTCATGCAGGAGCAAGGGTCTTCTTAATTTAATGAAAGCACAGCAGATCGGATCGGAGAGCAACCTTGACTCAAACATGTATATTTCGACTCAAACGTTTGGCTGCCTGCGGTTTGATCGGAAGCGCGTAGCTATAAGGGCCAAAAAAGTTGGATTAAGGTTTTTGGCAATAGCATAACCATATCTGCATAATGCGCGGACGCATCTACCCATGAGTCAGACCTCTCTGTTACGGTCTCCAGTTGGCTGACTTCTGAACCCCCCAAAAAAAAGTTAAACTTCCAGTCTCCTTATTACGGTTCATATAGAAACCCAAAAAGTGAAGGTCCTAAGAGCCAACCAGAAGAACACCAAGTCCAAGTCCATGAGATCGGGGCGCCTTGCTCTCTGACACGAGTTTCTCAAGGTCGGTGCTCGCCCCGCAATTCAGCAGCACCATGGAGAGCACCTGTCCGGATCTCTTTGGTTTAGGGGTTTAAGGCTTAGTATGAAGGAAAGGAGCCTCTCAACCCGAAACCCTTAAAACCCTAAACCCTAAACCCTAAACCCTAAACCCTAAACCCTAAACCGAAACCCTTAAGCTCCAAATCTCCAACCCCTGGAGACTAAAATAAACTTAAAACCCTAAAGCCTGAGCCTTAAGCCTGCAAACCTTACGAACCTTTGACCGAAATCCATGTTACATCGTATGCTCAAAGTGGCGTCCGAAAACCAGAGATTCAAGACATGAACCCGCTGCCCTAGGCCCTAAACCGTCGGCACGACGGCCTCCGTGTCGTTCTCCACGTGCTTGATGTGCTGAGCGATGTCCGCGTTCTCCCACACAGGCTGCAAAGTATGCTTGACCTGGCAGTTTTGCATTCGCACGGTTTAGGGTTTAGGGTCTAGGGCAAGTGTCCCCCGGTGATAACGAAAGATTGGGGAAGAAGGGCCTGTAAAGGGGGATTTCCGCTACCATATCAGCCGTTTACGGCACAATGGGAAGCAAATCACGCTTCCTACTTTAGATCCCTTCTAATGCAACCTAACTGTCGTAACAAGACCGCAGTCAAGCTTCTCCCGAAGCTTGACAGTCTGCTGTCCGGCCAAGAGGCGTCCCGGATATCCAGCAGCTGTGACAGAATGTGTGCTGCGCATATCCCGTCATGGTCCGCCGCCGCTAGGACTCGCACCTGAGGCAGTGCGAATCTCTGAAATCCCACACCCGTCCCGGTTCAAAACCAGGAAGCAACACCGATTCCCAGACACACCCTGAGAGAAAGAAAAGGAAACACAAGTGGATCCAACACAAGGATCTTAACAATGAAAAGCCTTTTGAGGTAGAAGTCTACCATAGCTACAGCAAGGAACTCTAAGAGTTATGCTGATTCTTCCGTCCACCATTGTAAGCTTGCAGGAAGTAACAGTAATGGAATTATTTCGGCTCCTCTGCCAAACAAGACTACATCGGGGTATTGATCCTTGCAATGCACCTTGGCCTGAAAACCATAACTTGAAATACTGTAGATGATATACATCCTGCATGACCTTAAGGACCCCAAACTATGGGAATTATGGTCTATTCCTTATTGTGGGTAATGCAGGATTTAAATCATCAATCGTAACACCCAATCCCCTCAACCCTAAACCCTAA